CCGGTCTTGTCTGCATCATATTTTTCCAGAGCTTTCGAGATCAGTTCATTGATCGTTTCAACACTTTGAGCAAAAGAAAAGCCTTTTTCTTCAAATATACCCTAAATTTTAAATCTCATCAATGAAAAAATGTAACAGATAACAATAAAAAATACCCTTTTTCTACACTCTCCTGCGAGTGAATCCCCGTTCGCAATCTCTCGTTCATCAAAAATGTTTGAAACAAGAGGTTTAATTTCACTCATTAACCTCGATCGCACGTGATCTTCTTCTTGAACCAACCGTGCATTTAAACGCCCTTCCAGTTCCTAAACAACTTATGTTAATACAAATCGGCGACACCATTACACCCGTACCATTAACATAGAACCGTAAAGAACTCAAAGTCCTGAAAAACAGTTCATTCCGCTGCAACTGTTACCAGAGCAAAAGTAATAACTTTATAAAATATTATTAATTACCTGAGCAATATACTCTTCAACCATTTTTCTCATTTCAGCACGTACGGTTGTTTTGAAATCTTCATAATGTTTTGAATATCGGCTGTTTACATTCTGTGTTAGCTCAGAAAATTGAAGGTTTCTGTCGTTTTTCAGCTGTAAAAAAGTGCTTACTCTAAAAAGCAAACCGTTATAACTCAAAAAACTAACCAAATTTTGTTCGTTTCGCAGCACTGCAATGTCTCCACCTAACTCAGCTACTTCCTGAAGTAAAAAAGTCATGTTACGATTAGGAAAATTTGCTTCTGTATAAAAATCCTTAATGCACAACTTTTCTCATTTATTCAATTTCAAAAAAAAAAAATTTCTAAAAAACTTCCACTTTATAAGAAATATTGAAGGGACGGCCGTTCGTAAAACTTTGCCTTCTTAATTACGTAAAATAACTTTTACATTAGCCAGCATATTACGAGAATTCAAAGATTCTTGCTCCAATTTTCTTAGCCTGTGCTCCATTTGATCATGCATCTCGCCAGAAAACTTTTCAAACCAAGATTTGATAAAGCCGTATATCTCGTCTCTTTCCTGTAAATATGTGATTTTGCTAGAAGAATAAGAAATTTACATTTACCACATGCTGTAACAGAGTTAAGAGGAATCAAATGTACTGGTAAAACAAACAAGAGCTAGCAAAGACCTGGCCTGCAGGACGTCCATCTCCAGAAGACAGGTTTTCTAAAATATCCTTTTCAATTCTCCTAATAAGCGACTCTTCATCTAAGATTCCCTTGTCAATTACCCTGAAATAGTGCAACAGTGATCAAGTGCGACTTAAAAAATGACAAATAACTTGACGAACCATTTCTTATCTGTGGTTGGGGAACCAGGAAGTGAACTCTGCACCAGCTCTATTGAACGCCTTAGTTCTTCAAACTGCTCTTGATTGAGTTCTCTTTCTCTTTTAAGTTCTGCCAGTTGATCAGACCAGGAAACCTACAGAAAAAGCAAATTAATTCTACAAGACAACAACTTCTCCTTAGGACAAGGTTCCTAATGCAACATTCTGCCGAATAGATTCGCGGGTCCTTTCCTATAGTCATCAAACATGCTTCAAGTAAGGCAACTGAGGAGGACGAACATTAGAACTCCACTACCAAAAGATAAAAGCTTCGGCCTCAGAAAACTCCCCTACAAACTTGAAAGGCTGATTTAGTCTAAACAGCTGCCCTCACACCAAAAACGCCATGTACTGTATGTATCAGAAGCAAGCATAAGTACAAACTGACCTTCTCTCTTACCAAACGATCCAACTCATCACTCCTCCAACGACTGTCATCGAGTTCCGCGGTTACCCTCAGGTCAGCTTCCTCACTCTTAAACAGTGAAAGAAGATAAAAGTACAAAATGAAGCAACTAAACATTTCCAATCATAATCCCCTGTTAAGCGACCAAACAATACGCTATTTGAAAGCACTGTCCCTCTTTTCAACTGTGCAGTCAGAAAACACACCATTCTACAGCCCACCTTTCCAGTATGGTCACTGTCATGTGTCCTATTCAAAACCACGACCGGAAGCATTTCACGAAAAACTTGGGAAATTGATCCCCGGCATGAATGAAATACCCGTAACACTAAAACGTTTATCTTGATAACAAAGTAATGATAGTAAAAAAAAAGTTCAAGTTGAGTACATAAAAGGGTATTTGATACAAACATGAAGACACAACGTTTCAATGTTTTTCATGGCCATACATTCGTCCCACTTAGACTTGCAAACCCCACGTCATTTCCGTCTGAGAAAAAAATTCCTACACATGCATCTCCCATCGACTCATTTGATGGTGAGAAACATCACCGTCCTTAACAATTGGACTCGATCCCAACTCATATGAAGCAATATGAAATAAAGTAACTTTCTTCAACTAAACCAATTCTCACTGGAAACCCACTCTTGATGCAAATCTGCCGGTAAAAAGATCATTACTTATTAGCAAACAGAGTCAAGTTCACTTCAGAAGAGAAATGAAAGACTATTGAACTAACACCTCGCCTTGAAGCAGACCTCAAGCAAACCCACAGTTTTGTCTTCCTTTAGGTTGGATAACCTTTAACACAACTCCCCACATCTTTCAACTAGCAAAGGATCATCATCTAACGCACACAACATAGAATGCACGGCAGATCTATAATTTACTTGCAGATTCACAAGCTCCTCAATTATTTGTTCGACTACAGTCCATGGTTTCAGTGAGCGCTGACAATCCCCGTTCTGTTTACTGTGGTCTAAATTGGAGGACATTACGCCTAATGAAGCGACAAGTCCCAAAAGTAGCAAACAAGTCCCACCCAAAATAACGATTCTTGATAGACTAAAATCACAATTTAAAAAATGACTGATTAGCTTCTCAATCGCCCTGTACAGCAAAAACGTTGTTTAGAAAGATTAAGAACAAAAAATTGTTGAAAATAAAGGCCTTTCACAAACAAGCAGACCACAGTAAAACGGTACAAGAGTACTCCCCCTACCCCTTCCAAATGTATGTGTCAAAAGCTGAAGTTTTCCGCATAAAAACGCATACCAATTAGCAAAACCAAAACAAACTTCAATTTTTGGGTTACCAAAATCGTGGAATCCGAAATATCGGAAAACCGTGTTACCTTTTCAGCTGCTCATTTTTAAATTTTCATTATTTTCTGCCAAATGTTCGTCGTTCTAAAAAGGCAGCTACAGCTAATATGATGAACACGTTTGATTAGCTAAAATGAGCGCGACAAAATATAGTCTTGAACTTAAACGCGTCAAAAGTGCAGAACAAAAAAAATCATTATGCAAAACACGACCAGTGGAATTGAAAACAAACTTCGAGAACGGTGCCCTTGAAAAGATAAATAAATAAGAAATGAAACAGAAAGCTCATTCATCAACGATTATTCATTGAATTTACTACGAGATTTCAAAAAAATAAGTTTTTTCCAAATTGCCTAACAAACTTACAAAGTTTTCTGCAAAACCCTGGATCTGCAATGCACTCCATCAACCACCACTTCTCTATCAGATACAAAGAAGCAAGAATTTCCTTGTAAAATGCTTCTAAAGTCCATCTTTAAATTTCTAATTATTAGCAAGAAAATAATCCAAACGGTGGTAAAAGTTCACAAGGCTAAGTGAGACAACTAATTATATCCAACTCCCAAATAAAGAAGTTACAATACTCTAAAAATGGCAAATTATATTAACATCTAAAATATCAGCATAAAAACTGCTTCAGTCGAAATAAATCCTTCTTCAATAACAAAAGTAGAAACTTGGATGAGATACAATTTAAACCTCTGTAAAGCAAATTTAAAAAAACATGACAAAAGCTAATCGACATTTAACAAACACAAAGAGTTCATTTTAATAACACTCATGTTGAAACCACAAATTTATTACCACTTTCAAACACTGACGATGGAAGTTCCACAAGAGTGTCCACGAATGATCTACCAAAAAGATACAGGATCTCATACCCTGAAAAACCATATTTACCAGTTCTTAAACACTGTCATGACCTCTATAATGACCTATAAATACGTTCTACAAGAATCAGAATATTGAACTAAAAAATTTGAAAAAGTTAGTACGTATACCTTCGTCCCAATAAAAAATGGCCCAATCCTTAGCAACCGACACTCTCTCCTTTAACTCTTCACCTGAAAAATTTTCATTCGGTATAAAACCAACAACTTTAAAATGAACAAACCTAGAAGACAGTAAACGACAAACCGTGTGAAGTTATCAATGATTTTCCGATCAGAAATGCGGCCAACAACAATAACAGTAAGAAAAGAATGTTTCCAGCTTTTTTTGCAATGCCCTTCTCTCCTGGGTTATCTACCACGAGACTGAAATACTAACAACATGTGAACGCTTGAGAGGAACCAAAAAAAATAATAATAATAACTTTACT